TTTCCAGTTCTCCTCCCCATCCCACTGCGGGGAGGGGGAGGAGTGAGCGAGCGGCTTTGTGGTACTTAGTTGCTGGCTGGTGTTAAACCACAACACATAGCAGCTGTTTGGTTCATACATTGAGACTGCTCTGTTGATTTGTTTCATTTAAGGAGACAAAAGACTCTAGAAAACTCTTCATTAACTGATTTGATACAACAGGAAAATGCATAAGAGGAAAACCATTTAAGCAAAGTACCTTCTAAATCATGTGGTTTATCTTCAGACCCATCAAAGCAGGTAATATCACAAGAGAAGGCGATATTCCTTTCTGCCCTCTCAAACCTGTGAACATAAAAATTAGTAATAAAACTTTCCGTAAGATACCTATATTTGGGGTTTGCTTCCACATACAACATAGCTTTTTCTTTCTCCTCCAAAACATAACAAACTTCAGTCATTAGACTGTGCAAAACATCAGGAGAAGGAATTACTGTATCTGTAAGATTCTTAGCTCCATACCCTACTGCAATTAGGTGTAAAATTTTAAAGAAGAACGACCCAACAGTTAGGAAAAAAAGAGCTTCACCCTGCAATAAAATTCTCACCTACAATAAACAATTATGTTGTCTGCTTATATTCAGGTTCTAAAATTTCAGGGCATTATCAGCACCAGGTTCCTATGGCCAAAATGGGTCCCACATCCAAGAGTGTCCTTGTATTTGCCAGGGCAAGAAACCTTAATCACTCAGCTACTTGAGCTGTTGTGTGACATCCAGTGGGGACAGCAGTTAGGGCAGAAGTAGCTGGTTGCTCTCTCAGTGCAGAGAACACAGGGGTTCTTTGCTTCTGGTTAGGCTAGGGGGCCTTGGGTCAGGAGGCTGAATGCATTGATCCTGAAGCATGATCAGTTGAGATTACCTACCTCAGAAAACAGTAAAAGATGCGAGAATATTCCTTTTAGTGGCTACTAACTTTGGATCCTAAGTAGAACTGTAATTCTACCATGACATGTTCTCTACTGTAATAATAGTAGTGGTTGCTACAGTAAGCAGTGTTTTCATCTAGGGCTTAAATACTGGAATATAAATGGAAAACCACCCAAAGGAGAAAACGCTGTTCACTGTTTCATATTCTTTTTATAACAGAAATGAGAACAAATTACAGAGAAATTAAAAAGAAAACCTGAAATTATCAGACAGAAGTAAAACTGTAAAAAAATATAAATGTAAAACAAAATTGTAAAACTTACGAAAATGTCTGAAGAACTCTAAGGTCTTCTCTGAAAGTATCTATCAGATGTTTCTTAATGTCATCATTTTGCAGAAGCTCAGTAGGTGTTCCTCCTAAAATTTCTATATATGTAAGAATGTCTTCATCTTCTGTATCATGTATGGGTATGCTTTTGATCGGAAAAAAGCTTCAGACTGTCAGCACCAACAAAATAGATCTAGTGTTATATATAATATACTTTAAATAGTATTTTCATTAAGAATTGTTTTAGTAAAAAAGTATAATGGTTCTCTGTCTCCAAAATACAATGGCTGATTAGTTTAACATCCGCAGAGAACACTTCTTGGAAAGGGTTAGTAGACTGTGTTTGCTGAAAATACAAACTAAGTGGGCCAAGTACCCTCAAGATCTGAAACTTCCACAGACAAATAACCATTAATTTAATTTTGTTCAAAGTTTGACTCTCACTATTGAAATACAACTAATAAAATAATGTATTTAAGAAAAAAAAGCCTACCAGTGGACCCAAATCTGACTAATGTAGGACGGGAGAGACCAATGCTTATGGAAATTTGCATGAATAATAATTGTTTCCATGGAGTACTAGCTTGTACTCAGGATTGCTAAGAAGCCCCAGAAACAGAAGAACGGAAATAGCAAAATGCTGACTGAGGACAGGAGGAGTGGGAAAAAGCCACTTCATTGTTGTCTCCCTGAGAAAGAGTAGCAGAACCACTAGAACCTCAGAAGAAACTGAGGACAAATTAAAAAGCCAACAAAGAATGAGGAGGGAAAGAAATAAACGGACAAATGTACTGAGGGCTGGTGCAGAAGGTTTACGAAAGACTAGGTTAAGACAGTTATTTCATGTTACGACATAGGGAGTGGCACTTTATATTTTGTTTTGATTGCTTTTTAGTATTAAGCCAAAGGTCACAGTAAATAATACAGTATTCAAAAAAGGTAGCATTAGCTTAAGGAGATCGTTCTCCCGAGGCTAAGGTTAGCAGCAGTGAATATTCTGTAACGTGAAATTCTCTGTCTGCCTCAGAATTAATTTCCTCTAAGAAAACAGAACATTTTTCTGCATACATTCAGAAGCAGCACTTGTTTTGTATTAAAGCCACTCTGCATACCACACTGTAAAATGTTTTTTTTTTTTACTCTTGGTAGCTAATGTACTGTTTTGTTTTGTACTGTTAATGATTCTGTAACTTACGTTTGGGGCATGCGCCCCTGATACAAAAAGATGGATCGGCTCTAGTCCATACTTTTCTTTCAAGTGGAGCGCAACTGCAAAACTAATATAAGATCCAAAACTGCAGTGAAAACAGAAATTAAAGCAAAATAAGCAAAAACATATGTAAAAACTGGAAAATTTAAACATAATTTGAATTTCAGTGCTAACTGGCTATCATCTTGAACAGTTACTGCAACCATATATGACATGTAAATTATAGTGGTATTAGCGAATTGACATGAAGTGTATTCCTCTACAGTCCAGTTTTACAAATCAGACCTTTCTAAATCTCTCTTTCTTTTAGTAGTCTCCTTAATTTGCAGTAAGAACAGTTATTTCGAAACACGTGGGACTAAGTGATCTTCAAAATCTATGTGTTTTATGAATGGTTCACTCCCTGCATTCATATAGAGCAAGCACTGACACAAATATTAACAGTAAATACAATTATAATTTATCTGTGTAAAAAAAAAAGAAACACAACACTGCCATTTTTAGAAGATATTGGGCTTGCAGTAATAAATAAATAACACGAGTCTTTGAGATCAGCAGCATGTTTTAGGATGACTTGACAAAAGACCTTTACAGAAGTTTATTTTCCTAAAGTTTTTGCAAATAAAGGCAAGTAACTATCTACTCCTAGAGTTCAAAGATAAAGCTCCTTCGCCACGGTATCTAAAAAGGTATATATTTTTACCTGTGACCAAAAAATGCAAATGGTTTTTCTTGCAATTCTTTTAACAAAGCACTTGCAATTTCATTAACTATGGTTGCCATGTCTTTCGCAAAAGGCTCCTTACAACGAGATTCTCTTCCAGGAAGCCTTACAGAGGACACTGCAGAACAGGTGGAGGAAGGGATGGAAAAGAATTATAGTTATTTCAAAGAGAAAAAGGAAAATAATTAAGTTTTTTAATCTATTCTGCAGAATATCTAGATTATTTAAATTAATCCTTCTTACAGTTGATACAGTATATTTGCTATTGCTACTAGTGTCTTTTAATCCTGTGAGAGATTAGGTTTCCATCCCTTCCTTTACTCACAAATGTTGCCTCTCCAGTTGATCTGATTGATAAATGTCTTGGGTCAGAAATCCACAAGGTCCTGATCTCAGCTGAGTTTTCAAAGCGACTTTATTACTATTAGTATTAATAACAACCACAAATTCATTAATTTCAATAATAGTAAGTTTGAGGATTGTATAAAATATATCCTTTCAAGGGCAGTGTTAGAAATTTAAACTATATTAGAATCATATAGTCCCTGTTTTCTTCTTTGCAGGCTCTTCAGCACTGCATGTAGTAAAACGTAGAATTATAGTATAAATTGATGGCAATTTATATTTATGTCGAAGGACATATTACGTGCTTTTATTATATTCCTTTCAAAATTGGGGATTTTCCTCTCTCTGTTTAGAGAAAGTAAGGAATAAATAGATCTGAAAAAAATGTTGATTTTCTAAAATCTCCTTGACATCACACATATTGCCAAACTCATACGGAGGTATTGAGTCAGACGCAAAGTATTTTAGAAGAGATCGAATAAACCACTACTTAATACCATAGATAGCAGTACAGAAATGTTTGCATATTCTATACTTCCTTTCTGCACAAAACAACTCTGAAAGAGCATACTGGACCCTGATTTTATTCATCTGTGGCCGCAGTTGCTCCTAGGCTATCTCCTTAGTAATTTTGTTGGAAATAGTTCCAGTGGACAAAAGCTTTTTTTTTTCTTTTTTTTTTTTTTTAAATTTCAAGCAAAATTTTATGTGACTTGTGCAACTGTTTACAGAAAGCATGCAGGCATTTAAAGGACTGGTACAATTGCAATGGGAATGCTCTCTATAAATGCTAAATTATTATTTTTCTTTGTGGAAGGTCTGGAAAACGGCCTTGATTCCTCTTCAAATAGTTCAGCAATGGATCTTTTTAGTGCTGGTATAGCCTGATGGCAATGAGAATTACTTTGCACAGTGTCATGTCACTGTTATAAATCCATAGTTTAAACTTCAGTTTTGATACAAGGAGTGCAAAACCGTGCAAATGCTCTGGAGGAAATGCATTCTGTGCAATCTCTCAACATTAAAAATAGTTCTCATATCTTCACTGTTAACCTTGCTAGTGCTTTATTTTAACATATTAACAATATGCCAGTGTATTGCTGTTTCTGAAGCAGTCAAGCACGCTATAGTCTTGAGAAATTTAGCTCTGAGGATATAACTTTTTAAGCTAGTCAAATATAATTTGATCCAAGGTAGTACAGAAACTTAGTAAACTCAGCACCCTAACAAAAATGCTAATTCCTAATGGAATTCCTTTCTGGATAAGACCCATTGGAAAAGATTGCAGTGCTCTCAAGAACATTATATTCCATTAAAAAAATGGCTACCGTGTATTTCAGACTTACTTAACTTCTGCTTTAACTATACAAATGACAAACCTTCAATTGAGCTGCTGAAGAGTTTGCCCCATTGAGCAAGTTGAGAAGTTCCACCTCCAGCCCACGGAAAGCAAATCAGCCTACAGAGAGCATTTGGCCTTTTGAATGGACAAGCAACCACCTTCTCCATTCCTAAAAAAAAACCAAGAAAACAACACATCACTCTAGAACAAGACTCTTCAAGTATAGGAGAATTAGAGTGAATTAAGTCTAATTTGAAACAATGGGCTGCAATATTTTCTGTCATCAGAACCGCCTGTGCTACAACAACAATCTGCTAGATATGAGACAATCTTCATGCAACAGTGGAAACCAGTTCTGCTTTTATAAGCGGTGATGGAATAGTATTGGGAAACACCCTTGGTTAATACTGGTCTCCTCTTTATTTGAGTCACTGACCACAAAGAATGTAACAAGCAGCAAAATAAATTGATATGGGATTTCAGGATGACCATTTAAAGATACAGGCTTTTAGAACATGCACAAAAATATAAGGTCCATCTAAAGACCTAGAAAACATAAGGTGGACCACCTAGTTCAATATTCTGTCTACTACAGTGGTAAAATGGATGTCTAGGGAAGAGTTGGATGCAGTTTCTTTATATATAGGAAACATACGAATTTCTCTTTCACATATTTATCCAGTCTCCCCTTAAATTCCTATGAACAGTTGGCATCTACGGCATCCTCTTGCAATGACTTGCATAGCTCTATCTGTTGCATAAAGAATGATCTCCTTTTTTGTTTCTAATCCAACTCCTACAACTTCATTTGATGGACACAGGGTAGTACAGTAAATAGAGTGGTGCATCTCTCAGGATTTGCCACTGAGCATTTCTGAGATCTGTCATACTGCCTCTGCCCTCAGTTAGCTCTTTTTCCTGAATGAAAAGGCCTGGCTTGCTTAGGTATCCCACATATGGCAGTGCTCCCACACTCATGACCATCATCCGTGCCCATCTCTGGACTTTTTCTAATTTTATTACATTCTTTTTGAGATGGTGGAGTAACCAGAGCCACATTCAGCTTTATCACAGCAGCTTTAGTATTTGTGGTCACTGACTGACAGAAGTAACAGCTGAAGCAAGATTTGTAACTACTCCTTACTTCTTGCTGAGAAGGAAAAATAGCAGCAAAGATGCCAACTGCATTGTCTCTAGCATCAGATAGTGTCTTTACTATCTGAAGAAAAAAGCAGTTCTCAACCTTTTTATTCTTCTTTCCCGATTTTCTTGTACTTTATTCTTGCCAATTAGATTTGTGGACATAAGCACTGAGGTGACATCCTACTACCAATGGTGTGTCACGCCGTGTTCTGTCAAAAGACCCTAGGAACAGCATGTGCAACAGAAATATATTGTAAAGGTAAATTCATTAGAAACAATAGTGATACAGAATTTAAAAAAAGTTTCCTGCAACCATTAGAATAAACTCACATGTTCTTGTTAAAAAGACTGAAAAAATAGTAGTTGAGGATAACAAGCAGCAAAATTCCATTTGCAAAATGCTGCATTATGGGTATTATTTCTTGCTTTTTGAATATAGTTCAGTCTATGCAAGTGCTGATTTATCATAAAATACACCTATATGCCTACATGCAGTCTTTTTTGCCTGCACAAAAAGTTTGAGAAATGCAACCAGATCAGACTAGGCTGCAATTCATAACTATTTTAAAACTACGTAATGCAAGCAAGACAGAAGAAAATCTACTCAGATATTGCTGTGGCAATTTCTTGATTTTCACATATGTTTAAACCAGAAAGTTTGTCAAGATTTGTTAAGAATCACTTCAAAGAAACTATAAAAAGAGTAAGCCAAAGAAACATGTATCAAAAATAACTGGGCCACAGTGTGAGCATAAAAATAGCTGAAGGATAGTGGAACCAGTGCTGCAGAAGACATAATTCCTCTGGTAGATTCATTTAGCTTCAGTACCATTAGTCTCATTTACACAGTCACTTCTTCCACAAAAGACACAAAACCTCACACATTTCTGAAGCCAATGTTTTAACTTGACAGTCAAATAAGAAAAGAAGAATCTCTTCTCAAACTGATTCCAAAGGTGATACAAAATTTCAAGCATGATAAAGAATCACATTTAGTCAAAGTCCTTAAACTATGTAAAGATACATTACCAGTCACTGAGACTCTGTCACAATTTCTACTCATACAGATTTATTCCATCATCATCCAGCTTACTTTAGATGCAAATACCCGAATAGTCGGGAAGACCACCAGTGCCAGGAAATGACAGCCTGAGGGTGGATCCACTTCTCAGCGCTGCACAGCAAGAAGCAGGAATCAGAATTTGTACGTATCAGCAGACACGGGAGCAAAGCCAGCCTTGCAGGAGAGGAGGGGATGTGCATGCAGGTGGCACAGCCACCGGCTTTTATGTCTTGTCTAGGCTTACAGGGAGGAGCCCACACTGGAAAAAAGGCAGGGACTGAGGCACACAGCATCCCAAAAGGGAGACAGAGGCATCATGTGTTAGGCATGACACACAGCATTTGGTAGCAATATAAGGAAAGCGCACCACTTCAATCCCAGTGATTTAGAAAGCACAGGTTAACATGTCCATGACAGTACAGAAGTTGTAGCAGATTTAATACATGGAGGCCCACAACCTCATTGACAAAAAAGCCTGCATAAAGCAACCAAGAAAAGCCAGCCTTTTCTAAGAACTGTATTCAAAAGCACAGCACTCACACCTCTGCTACACAGTTTTGTAGAGTCTGAAAATGTTAATGTAGAAGACCATCACCTGATTTGAATAAAACACTGCATTGGGTTAGTAGGTCAGTTCTAATTTCTACAAGCTGGAAGACATAGCAGTGCATGAACAACACACTGTGGTTACATATGATGATTTTCTATTAGCTACCATGTTATGCTCCTGGTGACCAGATGCCATCAGCAACCTAAGAAACACCACTGTATTTTGTAACTGCATTTGTAGTACTAGGAAGATCGGCTTTTTTTTTTTCCTTTTTCTTTTCAGTATTGCTCTACTAAAAATACCAGTAACAATAATAAAGTAAAACTATTCAAAAGCAGTGACAAAAACTAAGGCATCTGAATGCCAAAATGGATTCTGATGCTTAAGCTGAGACACATAAGCTGGACTACTTTGTGGTTTTCACATTATTCTTTGTTCCTCTACATTTCTCCGCATCATTTCTAGGAAATCATAAAATTTGTGGTGTTAAGAGAAAAGCCTGCCTGCTAACCTAGCCAGTCAGTAGGCACTGCTCCTTTCTGAAATGAGGTCTGCAGTCTTCTACTCACTTCTGATTTTTGGTTTCCTGGGAAACAATAAATCAACCCTTCTGACTCCAGCAGTTTCCGTGGGAAGGCGTGGGCTCCGCAGTGAGGGCTGGTCCCAGGCCCCGCAGCTGTCACTTCCAAGCAGCAAAAGTGGAAACTGTTGCTAAGCCTTCTTTTACAGTACTTTTTTTATGTTGTAATTATGATGAAGTAAGATGAGGCACACCTATGTTTGGAAGGTGCACAATTTAAAGCTTATATTGGCCAGTCCTGACCTGTGCTGTTATGCCACATGATGTATCTGCTACCAGAGGAATTTGATTATAAGGTACAATTATAACAAAGTATCTAATATGCTTTATTTATTCCTACCTTGGATTGTGCTGGCTGTAAAATCTCACACCCAATGTTAATGAAAGCCAGCTATTATAAACATCAGGCCCACTAATAATGTTCCTAAAAGTAAAACAATACTAGCAGAAACAATTCTTTCCTAAGGCTGAAAATAAAATAGGTTAAGAATAAGATTTTGGAAGTATAGCATTAATCAAATAGCATGATATTTCCTTAAAAATAATTAAATTCTAAATTGTATGTGCTGGTTGTTTTTGTTTGCCTTCTAAATTTTCTCTTGGTATCAAAGGACTAGAATTTTATTGGCTTTCATATGAAAAATTAATATTTTCACAAATTAAGTAGTTCCAGGTGATGCTGCTCTCAACCAAAATTATGTTTGCCCGTTCCAGGGCTGAAGGTAAAAGAGGGCTTTACAGAGCCAACTTTGCCAACTCAGTACTAGTACAGAATAGACTAGACTAGACAATTTCAGTCAGAAGGGACCTGCAACAATATTGAGTCCAACTGCCTGACCAATTCAGAGCTGACCAAGTTAAAGCATGTTGTTAAGGTCATTGTCCAAATGCCTCTTAAACACTGACAGGCTTGGGGCATCGACCACCTCTCTAGGAAGCCTGTTCCAGTGTTTGACCATCCTCTCAGTAAAGAAATGCTTCCTAATGTCCAGTCTAACCCTCCCCTGGGGCAGCTTTGAACCATTCCCACGCCTCCTATCACTGGATACCAGGGAGAAGAGCTCAGCACCTCCCTCCCCACTTCCCCTCCTTAGGAAGCTGTAGAGAGCAATGAGGTCTTCCCTCAACCTCCTTTTCTTCAACCTAGACAAGCCCAAAGTCCTTAGCCGCTCTTAGGCATTCCTTCCAGCCTTTTCACCAGCTTTGTTGCTCTCCTCTGGACACATTCAAGGACCTTCGCATCCTTCTTAAATTGTGGGGCCCAGAACTGCACAGAGTACTCAACGTGAGACCGCACCAACACTGAATACAGCGGGATAATCCACTCTTTTGACCGGCTGCCTATGTTGTGTTTGATGCACCTCAGGATGGGGTTTGCCCTCTTGGCTAGCAGGGCACACAGCTGACTCACATTGAGCTTCTCTCAGCCAGCACCCACAGATCCCTTTCTGTGGGTCTGCTTGCCAGCCACTCCTCTCCCAATTTATACTTGTGACCGGTGTTACTCCAACCTAGGTGCAGAATCTGGCATTATGACTTGTTAAATTTCATCCCATTAATCGTAGCCTAATGGCCCAATCTATCTAGATCCCTCTGCAAGGCCTCTTGTCCTTCAAGAGAGTCATCCCAGTTTGGTATCATCAGCAAACTTGCTAATGGTGCATTCAATTCCTGCATCCAGCTGATTGATAAATATATTAAACAGAACTGGACCTAGAATTGAACCCGGAGGAACACTGCTGGTGACCAGTCACCAGTCAGATACAGCCCCATTCACTACAATCCTTTGATCCGTACCCTTCAACCAGTTCTTCACCGAGTGCACCATAAA